TATGTTGAATATACTTGATTAAACAAAGTATATTAATAAAATTACTTTCACATGTTTCTTTTTACATTTTTTAGTGTAGTTCTTAGAAAATTAAAGTTGCATATGTGGCTTGCATTACATTTCTATTGGACATCTCTGGAAGACTTAGCAATTAACTGATGTGTGATGCAGACAGAAGGAAGCCTAGGTTTTGAGCCTAGATTTTGAGATTTTATTGGGGAAAAGGTCGTGCTTTATGAGATACAAGGCAACTGAATGGAGAAGCTGGCTTAACCATGTCAAATTTGAGGGGCAGTATAACCTACCAATCAGGCACCAGTAATTGCACAGGGCTCATGGGAGGTCTAAGAAGGGGGGGATGGGGCCTGGACCAGATAGAGAGAAAGCCCAGACTAGTTCATGCCTGGAGAAGCTCCATTACACAAAACACGTAAAAAATAAAAACCAACTTTGTTTTGTTTTTTTAAATTAATAACCATAATGATTAAGTAGGCTCTTATTTGAAAGCCTGTATTTTCACATTTATAAACACTATTACGGGGCCATTTCCATTTTAATAGGCTGCTGTATAGAGTAGGTGACCAGCAATACAGTATGAGGACATGAAAATCTGGAGATGTGGAGGTAAACCTCAGAGCAAAATCTAACTAGTCTCGTGGATTCTGTAAAAGCAGTATAAAAGTTCTGCTGGTCTTACAGTGAAAGGAAACAAAGCAACAGGGCATAGTAGCAACTTGCTGGGCTGTAAGATCTACCACACCTTGTCATTTGGCTCCATGGATCATCTCCTAGAGACACAGAACACAGAAGGCAGGGACTGTGCTCTGCACATTCCTAGAGGAACAGGTGGTGGGTCACCAGCAAGCCATATCTCTTTGCCTTTTCCCTCCTCTTTTTATTTTCCTTCTAAGAGTATTTGGAGGATGTTTTGAGGATGGCAGTCATAAAATGAGTGAATTTAATGTGTAAGTTACATGCTACATAAATACATTTAAAGGCTAAAGTTTAAACTCAAAGATATTAAAAGGCTGAATGTAAAAGGAATATATATTCTTTGCTAATATAAAGAAAATTATTACTGTGAGACAAAGGAGATTTCAAGGCCAAAAGTAATGTGATTAAGAGGATCATTTTTTAAATCATAAAGAATCACCTCACCAGTAAGATAGAGTAATCCTAAAGCTGAGAGCATACAACCAGGTAGTCTCAACATTTACAAAGTAGAATTTGACATAATTACAAGGAGAAATGGACAGATCTACGATTACAGAGAATGAATTATCTCTAGAACTCAGGAACTGAGAAAGCAGATAAACAAGAATGCTAAGCATATAAAAACAGGAATGACATAATTAACTTCTTATCTATTGGGCATTTGTAGAACTCTACTCCCAACAGTAAGAGACTCATTTTCTTTACAAAAACTGAACATATATTAGCCCACAAAGAAGTCTCCACAAATACCAAAGAGTCAAAATCCTACAGAGCAAGATGCTTTTGAAAAGTAACATTTAGTGAATACAAAGGAAGGTCTTAGAATTTAAAAAAGGCACCAGAAGAAAAAACTCAGAATGTGTGGAAGATAAAACTGAAGAAATCTCCAGCAAGTAGAACAAAAAGACAAAGAAATAGAAAATAGGAGAGAAAAAGATAAGGATATTAGAGCATTAGTGTAGTAGTTCTATCATTCCCCAAATAGAGAGAATAGAAGTTTGGAAATGGAAACAAAACAAAAGACCAGCTCAAGCTGAAACCTCGTGACTCAGAAAGACAGACATGCTAAGGTCTGTCGAAGCCAGGATGCCAGCTGACACCAACCCATGTTGCTAACCTCGGTGCAGAATGTTCAGGGGAAGCTGGCTCCCGTGCCTATCTGTGCTTCCCTTGTCATGACCACAGACTGGAGAAGTCACTTCTCTCCTCTGTGCCCAGCTACAGAAGCCCATTCCCCTGACCATATTCCTGCTGGGCATCCAGTGGCCACACACTGGTCCACACTAGGACCTGAATAGATGCCCTGACCCTGGTGAGCCCCATTTTCCTAGGAAACACTCATGACTTTCCCTCTCCGACTTCTCCAGAAAAGGCTCTTAAAACTGTCAAGGAACCAGACTCAGACTCGGAGGTTCCATTTCAGCTTATTATTCCTGTAAATATTGTTCTTTCATTACAATGCTAGATTTGAGCTTATGTCTGAAGTTTTGTGTATATAAATGATAGAGCTTCAAAGAAAAACAGGACTCAGTTAACATAGAAGTCAGTAGGATGGTTGCTCTGGGAAGAAGTAAGAGATGTGATGGGACAGGAAATGCGGGCTCAAGCTATGCAGCAGGGCTCTACTTTGTTAAGAAATAATGATGTGTACATGGCTGTTTGCTTGATTACTGTTACTTAACTTGCACATATAGATTTTTTTTAAGATTTTATTTATTTATTTGAGAGAGAAAGAGCACGAGCAGGGGGAGCGGCAGAGGGAGAAGGAGAAGCAGGCTCCCTGTGAGCAGGAAGCCCGATGCAGGGCTCGATCCCAGGACCCTGAGATCATGACCTGAACCAAAGGCAGACGCTTACCCGACTGAGCCACCCAGGGGCCCTGCACATATAGATTTAATATGTTCTTATGGTTTAGGAGATATTTAAATCTTTTTTTAAAAAAAAGTATGACTAGGTACAGTTTATCTCAGTAATACACTTTAACATCCGAAAATCTAATGCTGTCAGCATGTGAATATGATGAGGAACTCACTGTTTCCACTACGCAGAGGCCACATCCTTCAAGAGCACGTGTTTGCTGGCTTAGTGGAGGGAGAACACCACCAGCATGCATAGTTCAGAAGTAAGTTAGCAGATGGGGTAGATTTTATTATTGCTCCAAATATTCACTGCCCCACTCTGTGAGAGGATGATACTTCCTACTGCATTGCCGTCATGCTTTGGCAATGGAATTCAAGTATACGTGACATGTTTCACACTGAGTGGAATCTTAGAAACATTCCGTGGTTCTGTTGTCCATGAGGGCAGCATGCCCCAGACCGGGTCTGTCCCTCCAGTCTGGGTCCCTGAATTGCAGCAGACCAACACAAGATGATAATGGGACCAAGCAATAAGCCTTGCTCTTCCCTTGTGCGGCCATCGCTGAAGTGCCAGTGGCCAAAATGAAGCTCAATCCCTTTGTGACTTCTGACCAGAGCAAGAACCGTAAACGGCATTTCAGTGCACCTTCCCACATCGTAGGAAGATCACATCTTCCCCTCTTTCCAGAGAGCTGAGATAGAAGTACAGCGTTGGATTCATGCCTATCTGAAAAGGGGGTGAAGTACAGGTTGTGGGAGGACCAAACTGGCACAGCTGTCCAGGCTGACAGGGAGAACAGGCCATCTACACTGAAGGAATGCCGCGAGAGAAGGCGGACGGCACAACCGTCCACGTGGTCATTCAGCCTCACAAGGTGGTCATCACTGGACTGAAATTGGACAAAGACCACAAAAAGATCCTTGAACGGAAAGCCAAATCTCGCGGAGCAGCGAAGGAAAGAGGACAAATAGAAGGACGAGACAATTGAGGAGATGCAGGAATAAAGTAATCTTATATACAATTTTAAATGAAAACTGTTAAAAAGAAAGAAACCTTTGTCATTGTAAGCTGAGTTGCCCGGGGTGGTTTGTTAGATGAAGCTACAGTCCACCACACCTCAGAGAACTTCGCAGTAAGAGAAGAGTAGACGACTCCAAGGCTACAGCCTGTGAAGAGAGGATCCCGTCACTCTGTGCAAAGCCTGGGGATGCTGACAGACAGCGATTTATTTTACAGGGAGGAGGAAAATCCAAATCAGAGAGAATGATGGGCAGTGGAAAAAGATACAATCGAGGACACAGGGTGGAAGTGGGCCTCAGACACCACGGATACAATGCTTTGTCCAAAACCGTAACCATGGAAGAAAACTGGGGAACATGGAATTGAAAGGAGACAATTTGAGCAAGTGCATGCAAGACAGGTCCAGTGTTTTGAGGCCCTTGATGAGGATAGCTGCCGGGTCGGAGTGAGGCGGGTTTACAAGAGCCAGCATGCAGTCTGCCTGCCGGCCAGCACTGATTCTCAACCAGTGAAATGCAGACCTCCAATCCGCTAATAACCACAGAAGTTATACCTAATTACTATTAGTTGTATATTTACACAGTAAAAGCTAAGAGATCTGCCTTCATACCAGCCTGTATCTATATAAAGTCTAACTGGCCGTAGGACTATTTTCTTCGCATTTTGAGAAAATGAGTACAACCAGCTACAATATTTTCAAAGAACATTGAAAGAAAATATTTTCTAAATATTATACAGTAATTTTCCAAAAATCATTAAAAGGAAGCTTTGATAAGATATTTTATATGGCATATTATGCTTGGGGGTATATTTAAGTTCCTGAATTTTCACAAATTAAATGTTAAAATACTTCTGACAACATGTGATTTAATGGGCAAACTGAAGGAAATAAATAATTTAGAAATGGGCAAAGTACAAACTAAATTTGACCACAAGATTTAGTGGACTTTTTAAATTAATTGTGCTAAATTAGTCACTGAATGGAGCTACTCAAGTATTTGATTTCAGATACATCCAAGCTTACAATTACATTTATGAAATTATTATATTTATTTTTACAAGGCATTTTGCATTTGATTTCACTAGATTCATTTGTATCTCACATCTAGAAATTTTTTTTAAAAAAATTAAATTTATTTATTTTTAAAGATTTTATTTATTTATTTGAGAGAGAGAGAATGAGAGACAGCGAGCACGAGAGGGAAGAGGGTCAGAGGGAGAAGCAGACCCCCAGCTGAGCAGGGAGCCCGATGCGGGACTCGATCCCGGGACTCCAGGATCATGACCTGAGCCGAAAGCAGTTGCTTAAGCACTGAGCCACCCAGGCGCCCTCTCACATCTAGAAATTTAATAGCACAATGTAATCTATGCTAAATTAATAAAAGAAAACTTGATTCCATATTCACCCTGGTAAAGAGAGGATCTAAGCCATCTGGAGCAGTGGTTGGACGAAATCTTCTCCTTCTCCATGACTCAAGTCTATTTTCCCTTATGATTCTTCCACTGGGGGGAGGAGGTGCAGGAGGAATAGGCATCATGTAATTGTTAATGTTTGGAAGTTGATAGCGATTCACTCCCTGTGAATTGTCCATGGAGTTCTTGAACTTCATCACTGCCTTCTTGCCCTGTAATCACATTTCACGACATAACAGCCAGTAAAACAGAAGTAGTCACCAACGTAACCCAAAATTAAAGCAAGACCGCATTATTTACATTGCACATAAATACAACTGACATTAATAGGCGAACTTAAACACTTCATTTTTTTAATTGAAAAATGGCATTTTGTAGTATCCATAGCAAGTTAAATTTTCATGACTTTCTAACCTTATTGAAGTATACTTTTATGACAAATACACAGTGATGGCATTTTTATAGTACTTTGGGATTTTTCCTCAATAACCCATTAAATCTATGGGGACCCAGTACAATTAAACAATTTAAAATCAAGGAGTTGGAAGTATTGTACTTTGAGGCAGGGTTGGATAGCCCATTTAACAATGGAGTATTAGTACTTTTTCCACATTGATTTCATCCATGCAGGGGTTATAATATTCCTTGATAATATAATATCACGGAACCAAATGCAGATTCTGACCCAAAGATTATTTTTTCCTACAAATTCAACTTGTAGGAATAAATCCTACCAAGATAACTGCACAATATGTTGATGTAAATGTGTAAAAGGATACACACACACCCCAAATTCAGTTGAGCCATCAAGTCCATCAATAGGAGAATATTTAACTAATTTTTTTTTTTGTCTTTGTAATAGATTCTCATCAGGCTTCAAAGAGAATAGTATGAATCTATTCATCCTGACATAAAAAGGTCCATGAGATGTGATCACAATTTCTTTTAAATAAATTTGTATGTGGATTTTGATAAAATCAGGGATGACTGGAAGACTTTAAACTAAGGGTTGCCTTTGGGGATTTGGATTATTGGGAGATATCATTTTCCATCTTACATATCTTTGTATTATTTGAAAAACTGTATCTCTGTATTAATCAAAAATAGAAAAGCACCAAAGGTGTAATCAATAATCATATCACATTTTTCAAATATATTTGAGTCTTTGAATTTTCATAAATTGGTCATTTTGTGCATCTGAGGTAGTTTTCCAAACTTTAAGGCATCTTTAATCACTTTATCCATTTACCCACTTTTACCAATTTATTTGGTATGGTTTTTTCAGCCAGTTTATTCTTTGAGATGCTTAAATATAGTGAAAAGTTATTGTTAAGAAAGGAGAGTCTTTCTCCAAACATTTCTCACTGCTAAGTAAGTAAAAGCAGGATAAATAAAGGCACGTATAGGCCATATTTTGATTGCAAACATTTATGTGAACAGAAAGGGATTTAAATAGATATTCACCAATGAATTTAGAATTGTTAAAATAGGTGATATTACAGGTGCTATTTATGTTCTCATTTTTCTTTTCTCACATTTTCCAATTTTTCTGTGATGGTGTGCATTGATACTGTAATAACAAATATAAACTAAGTGAAAATAATAAGAACAATAAAATCAATGAATCCAGAACTTTGGGACTTGGGAGATTTTTTAAATTATTATTTCTAAGTAGTTATCGGTCAATTGTATGCCTTACTTGGAAATGGTTTAATAAATTTTTAAAAAATTAACATGCCATTCCTTACCTTGCTTTTTTTAGTCCACAGTGTCTTAGACATCTTTCCATGCTGGTAAAAATAAGTTTACCTTTTTTTTTTTTTTAAACATACTTTCATAAACTATGTTTTTAAACAACATCCTATTAAATTGTTAGGTGTCTTAAATTGTTCACTATTATGAATATTATATTACTGAGTACCCTTGAATCTCTTTCTTTTCACATATGTGTATATTCCTAAAATAAATTCCTATATATAAAAATGCTTGAGCATGTTCATTTAAAATATTGAGAGATATTCGCACATTGCCTTCACAAACAGATATGGTAATTTCTATACTTATCAATAGTGTATGAGAAACTCTCATTGTAAGGATAATCATTTTTAATTAAGTCACAATTTTTACTCAGTCGCATCTTAACCACCCTGTTTTTGACCAAATTGCTTTTGCCTAAACTGAAGACTTTCACTCCTGATACTTAGAAACTTGCTTATGTCTGTTGTCCCTTCCAACAATTCCCACATGCATAACTTTTACTTTTTAAGAAAGCAGTAGGAATTTAGTGGGTAGTCACTACATACTCAGCAATCATGAAGGCTACTATTCTTTAGAAATTTTTTGTCTGATTTTATATTAAATCATCTTCGTCATCAATGCCATGGAAAAATTACATGTCTTCTGGCAGTACAGTTTGCCTATGTACATTACAGTATAAGCTCCAATAAATTAGAGACTTTTGTCTGCCTTGATAATTGATGTTATCACTAATGCCTAAAGCAGAACCTAGTCCATAGTAAGTGCCCAATAAATATTTACTGAATGAAAAGTGTAAGTTTAGCTAGTTTAAATCAACATGGAATTGATCTAAATCTTGTCAGCCTAAGTAAGCTACTATTAAGTGCTTATCCCTCAATCACTCATACCCCAAAACTTGAGAATAGGAAAATAAAAGGCCCTATGCAGATTTAACTAATAAATCCACCCAATGGCTCAGAGCAGAATGGGAAAATCAGCTAAAGGGGGAAAAAAAAAATCCCTCCCTAGCCAGCAGAACTTGAATATTACTTAATTAGTAGTATTTACATACCTAATAGGAAAAAGTATCTATCAAAGTATAGGAGCTTAGATAAAATAATAAAATCACCTTGGCAAATGTGGAACGTACCCATCCAAGCACTATCTAGGGGAGAGAAAATCCCACCCATTGGGCTTTAAATATTTCCAATCCTAATGGCAAAGTTACCCCTGGAAGATACAGGGATTTAGCCAAAGACCTTTGAGTTTTCTGGTACCTTTGGCAAGCCCATTCCTAAGATGATATAGGTACATCAAGCCATTTTAACCTGATTCCATTCCCCTATATACCCCCATTCTGATTCTATGCTCACTAGGCAACCTTCTCATTGTGATCTGGCTTCTCATGGAGGTCTGTCTATAGGGGGATAATGGACTGCTTCTACAGCTTTGATTATTTGATATCTGGTGAATTAATGGCCCCTGATTATGATTTGGCTGCTGATTTTGGTTTACTATAAGGAGACAAATGAGCTTGTTCTGTGTTATTCTTGTTAACTTGAGACAATCTCTCAGGACCTGTCTGTTCCTAGACACTAGCTGAAACAGGAAATCTCTAGGCTTTCAATGTGGACACCAGATCCTAAAGTGTCAGCCTAATTGACTTATGACCCCACAAGCTTCTGCCTAGACTTAAGTACTATTCCCTAGACAAAGCTCTACCACTCTTGGTTTAATTTTTCCTGTTTCTAGGAAAGTACTATTAAATTAACTAAAATAAGGTTTGTGGAAAGTGCTTCATAAGCTGAAAAGCATATTAAATGGATACAATATTAGTTATTATTTTTAGAGTTATATTATACTTTTATTATGAAACACAACCATTTGTTTATCTGGATTAATTTCTTAGTATCAAGGTTATCTGTCAGTTCTAGACAGAAATATCTTAATTTCAAAAAAAAGAAAAAATATCTTAATTTCATATGTCTTATTTTTCTAATAAGAAATGGAACGAAATTCATCCATTTGAACACAGTGACAATTGTTCTCATGACACAGGCTCTTTCTTAAGCTGGCAAATGTTTCTTCTTCATATTAGAAATACAATCGATACCCTCCCTAATTACTGAATGTCTTAATTATTCATCCTTGTTTGAGTAACTTGTAATTTTACGTTTACCATGTTTCCCTCCAGTACTCTTTTAAAATAAAATTACCAGAGACATAACCTTGAAAAGGAAGCAAAGTCAAGCTCCTATGTGGATTAATTCACCATTTTTTAAAGAGGGACATTCTTTTTCTTCTATATCCAACCTTCTCCAGAGTCAAACTTGAAGCAATTTCATACACTGATGGTAAAGTAAGTCGGCATGCAAATGCAAGCCTATTCTTGGAAAGTTTCACTTTCTAGGTTTCATGCATTTAAAATTTAGAATCAGTCAACACTGGGTCTATTCTGATAGAAGTCATATCTGGCTACAAGAAGTTTCTCTTTGTTTCTCATACAATCGGTCAGATTAATGAAAGATAACTTATATTATTACAAATCTATTCCTTACTCATTTTGCTTAATAGCACAGAAATTATAGGCCTTCCAGTTAAAGATATAATTAAACAGAAGTACATAGTAAATGCTTAATAAATGCACAATATAAATTTCACAGAAGTACACCGTAAATGCTTAATAAGTGCACAATATAAATTTCACTGAGTAGATTAATTGAATTTTCCATCTTAAAACCTGTGATAATCTAATACTCTAATGAAGAATAAAAAGAGATTTCTTGAAGAAGTAACATTTACCCCAATGGGAAATGGAGCTTCATTTTCCAGCAATGAGGTTTTCGATCTGGACCCCGAAGTTATCTTTGGAACAGTTCCTACTGCAGGATTACTGGGAAGAGGCTTTAATCGAATTGGAGGCTGCATATTTCCTGGGGCAGTGTATGGCCGAGGGGCTGTCTAGACAATTAAGGAAAAAAATTCCATTTAAATTAGTATCTTGACATGTTTCCAGAACCAATTAATAACCCAACAAATTGCTTAGAGTAATTAATGGTGCCTTTTTACTGAACAGATTAAACTTTAATTATATCCTTCCATTATACATAGCCTTATGACCCAAAGTATTTGTTAAAACATATGGCGTGGAAGTCCTCTACATAACTAAATGCCACAATTATAGAGTATTCTAGACAAAGGAGATGTTCTCTGTTAGGGTCCTGTATTTTATTCATTTTGTAAACTTGCTGACAATGCCTAATTTATTCAGTGCATAAAATGGCTTTGCGCAATCAAATGTTACCTTGAATAATGTTCCTATTTTAGAGATCTAAAGGAGTATGATTGGAATGGACTCGTTTCCGTATAAATGTTTTCAACATAAACTACTGTAAGTCCTTTACATCTCCAGAATGGTGAAGTAAAAGCAGACGATACGATTCAAAAAGAGGAAAGGCGATGCTTAACTATAATATATTACCATTCATTCAACTTCTCCCTTGAAATACCAGGAAAGTAAAAATGAAAAACAGTAACTGGCAATTAGAAAACCCTGTATGAAAATGAAGATGTTTTCCAGACTGGATATTTTCCATTTGCTCCTCTTCTCTGCCTTCTCTGCCCTGCTCTGCCATCTGAGAGTCATTTCTTTATGGACTATACCTACTATCTCCGGATTCCAGTTGGACTTGGCCAACGAAAGGCACTGGCAGGAGATCAGAAGACAAGAGGCAAGGGTCTTAATTCTCCTGAACCCTTCCCACCAAGGTTGTAATGGGCCAGGTGGGTCCCTCTACCCGAGTCCACAGCTCCTGTCAGGCAGTCCTCTCCTAGCTTGTAAGGACTGCCTGCTGGTGCTGGTACCCAGTCCTTCCCTCCCTCTCTCTGGCTTAGGTGCTTTGCTTCCCAGGTGCTGACCCCAGCATGCTTAATCCCCAGTTGGTTTTCCTTAACCCTGACGGCTTCTTTGTAAATAGTTTCTTTATTAAACTCTTCCTAATTACCCTATTTGTGTGAGCCATCTGTTTCCTGCTGAGACCCTGACTGGTGCATTTTCTAATCAAGAATGTACTGCAGAGAATACCAAAATTACCAGTACGGAGCATTAGAAATGCTGTTTGTGGCACTGACAGAACACTGTAAGTTTAGTATAAAGATCAGCAATTATTCAAAAAGAAAAAAAACAAAAACAAAAACAAAAAACCAAGGCTTTTGGCCCTGTTGTTCTATTACAAGAAAAAGTTGGAAACCTGTTAAGAATAATACATATATATTTGGGTAAGAGGGTTTGAAGTCTGGCATGTAAATGACTCATGAATAAGGCTTAATGCACTGACTCAAGCACAGTGAACAACAAATATTCAACTCTGGAAAAGTGTTGTGTAAATCCATAAAAAAACGATGATAGGGCAGCTCCTACCACCAAAAACTGGTCTGAGTGCCATCTTGACAAGCATGTCATATGTTGCCAAATGTCTGATTTTGTTAAGTCAACATTCATTGGATTCCAACTATAGGCAGTATGAGAAAATTGAAAAGTAATTTTTAACATCTAATGGCAATACACGACAGTTAATGCCAAATAAACTACGCAGATACTGCCAAACAGACAATAACAAAAATAACAGAATATCTAAGACCTAATAGAACTTAGAACTAAATGTTATTTGGAAAAAACCAATGAGACCAGGAAAAATTCAAGTTTTCACAGAAGCATTTTATCCAAATGTATAAGCAAGAGAAGAAAATGGATGAGCAGAGAAGAAGAATGATAAATTTGAAAATCCATAGGTAGAAAGCCAGTTGTTAGACAGACGTGGGAAGGGTAGCGAAAATAATATTCCCCAATATCTGTTTTTCTTTCTTCACTAGTAATAGAATTTTTATCAGGGAACATGGCTATCATAAATAAAGGCTATATTTCCCAGCATCTCTTGCAATTCTGTACAGATATATGCCTCAGTTTCTTTCAGTCAATAAGATGTGAGCAGAAGTGATATATGAAACCTTCAGATCATACCTTTAGAAGAAGTGTGCTGTCACTTTCCCTTTACTCCCTTCCCTGTAGCTGAAATATCCACATGGTGATCTGCAATCTTGGCTTATGTAAATGAAGACAACAAACTAAATTTGGCAGATTAATGACAAATTAGGAGTCTGAGCTTTTGAAGACTTGATAGAGTAGAGATGAGCACACCAGCTGAGATTCACAAAAGTGTGTTGGGGTGGGGAGGGCATCCTTATGTTTAAGTCATTGTTATTTTGGGTCTCTGCACAAAAACCTATTTATTTCATGACCAATACAGAAAGCCAAGTGGATTGACTAAGGCAACATCTGATTTAAAGAAACAGGACATGAGACTACATGAGCCAAAAGGCAAAATGTCTTTAAACCCACAAAGATAAATCAAACTAAAGGTTTCTGAACAAGGGAATCAGTTCACCCAAAAGAATTCTTTTGAACTCTCTAAAACAAATACGCCTAAGACTTTCTCCTGTCAAGTAATTCCACTGAACACAAACACATTGAAAATCTAACGTAGGAATTCAAGAAAGCAGGTTACTATAAACTAGAACATGATCTATTGGCTTCTGTGCTCTAAATTTTATTTTCCACATTTGCATACAGATATCATTCAGTTAGATGAATATGGCAGTCAAATGTTTAACTGATTACATTTATATCTAAAAACAAATTTGCATCATTCAACTAACAGCTGTGAGCTACGAACTGTTGTAGTTCACATCAGAAGCCACCTTAAATTTGCTATATTTTAAACTGTTTGTAATATATTTTCTTGGAATAAATATGACACTCTAGCTTAACATTTTCAAAACTGTACCGGAATGTGAATTGAAATTGACTACCTGGTGATTACCCAGCTTAGCTGAGCATTTCTAATGCTTACTAGACGATCTCTGGGGGTGACTTTTCCAAGCTTGTGCAGAATGAGTTGAATGGCTTTCCACAATTCTAATGGGAATGATGCAGCTAAAAGCCTGTACGTTACTCTGAAGGTTTAGGTTCAATTAGTGACCAAGTGCAATAACTGTTCACTGGATGCTTTCTTTCTTTCTTCAAGAAAGTTCAAAGAAAAATTGATGGCAATATCCCAAGAGGATTACTATCTCCCATCTCCATGGCACTTGGAGGTCAGGAGTCAAATTTAGAGGATATGGATCCAGGTCGGGAGAACGAAAAGGAAGATTTGCATTTCTGTAAAATGGGAACTACACTTCCAAGGTCACAATAGGTATTCCTTATAGTCCGGAAGCACCATAGGGGGTGACCAAGTGGAGAACTGAGGCTTACCAGATAGAACGGTTTCTGAGGCGCTGGTATCAGTGTTTCCTGTGATTTTTAAATTACTTTCTCACATTACTTTGCCACATTAAGATCTCCTGGCTGTATCATAAACTACTTATTGAGGGTGTTCAGCTGGAAAAGTGAAAAGGAAGCCTTTCAAGGGTTTCTCCTCTTTGAAACAGGTGGGAAGAAGATAGAAAACAGCACTTGATTGTTTCTTTTGTTTCAACCAGGTTAAGCTTTTGAGAGCCTAGTGAATTTGCCATCCAAAAAAAGAATTGTTTGTGTACGTACACATTTAAATGAAGCTGGGAAATATGGTAACAACAAAGGGAAAATGGTCGCTTTTCATAACTTGAGCTGTTCATCAGGAAATGTCAAAACATATTTACCTTTGAAAAATGTCAAAGCTTAACACTATACGAGATGAACCTACTTCAACAATCTGTTAAAGCTTTGCAATTTCTCTATAAATATTGTGCAATCAAAAAAAAATGTTCATGCTAACAAGGAAATATATTAGGCCACACAAAGCAAGAATAAAGATGTGATCAAGCAATTCATTTACAACTTAAACCATCAACCTCCCACAAATATTCTGCAAATCTTTTCCTGTACCTATATTGTTTCAAGCTACCTCACCTTCCTTCAGATTAATCCCATCTCTATATTATAAATGGATCGAACTGGAATGAAATGTCAGTTTGTGCAATTTCTTTAAATAGAATCTCTGCACATTTAACTATGTTTATGTTAGAGTATGTGCCCGTGCTTTTGATAAAAGAAACACAAATATAAGTATCTGGCCCAACATGCTATACAGTATGATTGAGTTTGTGTGCATAAATAAGTTTGACAGATAAGGTGAGAGTGGAGGGAACAGCAAGGACAAAATCTAGAGGTCAGAAAACATAGGACATTAGTGGAATGACTAGTGGTTCAATCTTGCTGCATTGTAGAGTGCTAAAGGGTAATCATGAGGGAAAATATTGGGTTGGCTAAATTGAGGTCAGATGGCTTAGGGTCTTAAATGTTAGGTGAGAGAGTCTAGGTTTTTCTAAAAATGTCACAGAGCCAGTGAAGGCATTTGGGTATGTAAGTAACAAGTAATCTGCACTTTAAAGAAACTACTCTAGCAGTAACAAGCAAAATGGATTTGACAGGGGCGATACTGACTGAAAGTGGGACGTTCAGTAAAGACAGTTGAACAGATACAAGACCACATTGGCATTCAGTAGGATTCACAGGATTATACAGAGAAGCACTCAGAGAGAATTCCTTCTGAGAGTAACCAGAAATTATATAATATTTAGTCAGAATGGTACATGACAGAGTGTTTAATATGACTCACCAGTGTTACTGGACTGGAATGTCCTTCATCAATCAGGACACTATGGCCACGGTTAGTCTTTGGGCCAACTGGGGGGTGGGGAGATAGGATTGGCATGTTATTTTCTATAGACCATCTTGTGGGTTCTCCCTAGAATAAGAAAGTGAACAAATTGATGCATAATTAGCAATTGAGGTTAGGTTATTGCCTGACAGGTTAAGAGATACTATATTACTAAAGAAGTCCTTTCTCATTGCTTTCAAATCACTATAAGAAGTACAATATTCCACACAGTTCTGATCAGTAAAGACTACCAGAAACTATTACTTTTCTACCTTAAAAAAATAATGAAATCATGCCCCAAGCAAAAGGGTTGCATATTATATAAAAGGAACCTAAATCATAGGTCTTTTAACCAAATGCAGTTATAAAGTGAAAGTTGTTATGAATGAAAATCATATAGGGAGGAACTGGAGTGTCCATCAGGAATTTCTGCCAATGTTGTAACATGTTCACGTGCTTAGTCAGCCTATCTGGCAATCTGGGTGAAAACAAATCCCACACGGCTTTAGGCAATGTTCGTTGCTATTTCCAGGGACCATTTTTCTCCATCAACATTTCAGCACTAACTTATAGAATCTATAACTCAGTCCTTGATGTAGGACAATATTGGCAAAGTTGAATTAGCCACAAATCTCTACACACCAACATTTCTGATCTTGAAAAACTGACCTATCTGCTGTTATTTAACAACACTTTTGTAACAAGATTATCTTTTGACCATGATGAAATAGACAGATTTGAGTCTATCAGGCAAGAGGGAAAAATCACCGCCTTATGTGGCAACTTATTCTCCAGAAGATTTACAAATATTCCTCAGTTTGTGAAATGTGTCTTGGGCCCCATGACACAGAAAATGAAGAATCACCTGCACATTTGAATGGCTCGAGAAACTGAATAAAACTGCCAACCTAAACTGAAATCTTTCAGACATACTTAATTGAGTCTCTCATCTCCTGATTCAAATTTATATGTTTCATAAGTTCACTTCAAAGAAGGGATATCAAATATAAAAATAAAAATAAAAACAAATAAGGAATTTTTAAATGCCTTGTACAGAATGTCTAAATCTTATGCTTTTGTTTGCCAAGGTAGATCTTTCCTACCATCTATTTTCAAGGGTCACATTTGTATGGAAATGTGCCATTGGGTAATTCTTAGAATGCCATTTCCCATCACATTGGCAACATCACCATCTATTTTCAGCTTTTTAAGACACAAAACAAAAATCCTTGGGCCTCTGTCACATATCAATCAAGAAAAGACAAAAGCAAAATTTCAAACTTGAAAAGAGTGTTTTCCACGTTTCCTTTGAAAGCTTTGTACCTTATAAAAGTGTGGGAGAATCTCCTATTTTGCCATGATCTTCTGAAATAACGGTGGCCAAGATACAGTCTTGGTGAAACCATCACCTGACTTCAACTATGAGTTACTCAAGAGTAAAGTACCTCAAAAAGCTTCAATAATAGTGCCATTGACTTTTAAAATCATAAAATAATATTATGAAGTAAAGAGAATTATGTAGCTCCTTACCTTAAATCTCTGAATTCGCTCCTTCCTAGCTAACGTCTCCAGTTTTTTTTTTATTTCAAGTTGATGATACCGCTAAGCATATGGGAAAGAAGGGAGGAGAGGATCATGTCAATTATAGCAAAGATTTTTTTAGAGGAAAATAATCCCACCAGCTAACTGTATGCCCACTTACTCCCCCCTTGTCACTGAGATGGAGAAGAATCACCTGCATAAGTGTGCAAGTGGGAATATGAATTGGTACAACTCTTTGGAAAGCCAATTCTTAACATAAAGCAGTGAAAAGTGTCCCTACCCTTTAATTGATAAATTTCACTTCCTAACCTAGCAGGAAATCGGAATTAAAAGAAAACATCTGTGTTATACACAAAGATGCTATCTGAAAGGAATTTTTTCTTCAAGGCAAAAATTCAGAAGCAATATAAACCTTATAGAGAATGGTTAACTTTGGGGCACATCCATATAATGGAATAGAATATAATCATTAAAATAAGATTCATAAAGATTTTGTTTAAAAAAATGAAAAATGCATGTCATGCAGGAAAAATGTAAAATACAGAATTGCACAGAAATACAGTTTAATTGATCAAGCTCATACCGTGTGGCTGCTCCTGTGCCAGGAAGGGGCATCATGTCCGTCATCTCTTCTTGAACAATACTAATTGCTAAGCAGTCTCATTCTACCAGTGCAGAAACTGAGGCAGAGGACCACGAATTTGCCCCAGGTCACACATCTAGTCAGTGGTGGAACTGTCATCTGAAGCTCAGTCTACTGGACACTAACTTCCTGTTTGTTTGCTCTTTATCTGTTTACTTATTTTTCACAAGACCCTGTCCCTTTCACAACACAGCATGTTTTTATTAATGCATAAATATGAATAGAGACTAAAAGGAAATGTGAGTATGTCGACAGCGGTCCTCTCTGGGAGGAAGGATTCTATGCGGTTATTTTCCTTTTTGTATTTTCTTGTGTTTTCCTAATTTTCTGTAATATTTTAATTAGATAACTTAAATTTACATGAGGTTTATTCATGTAAAAGTAAGCTGCTTACGATTCTATCTGAAATCATTCAGACACATTTGAGGGCATTTGAAAAGTGTTTTTTCTGTGTTCTTGATCCCCTCGTGCAGCCTGTGGGATCCTGCGGACTCGATCTTTCCCTAGCGAGCATCGTCAGCCCTCTCCAGACACTTCCCTTTCTTCTCTCCCTCTTCCTTCTCTCACCCACCGATCACCAAACCTCATTACACTCACTACCAGCCATTTTCCATTTATTTCCAAATCTGCAGCCCTCTCTCGCACGGCCCCTCGTCTTCACTAAGGCCACCAACGTCTTTGTCCCTGGGTCAAACCGAATTCCTTCTTTTCCCCAGCACTTCTCGGTTTCACCATTCGGCACTTGTGAGAGCCTGCCGGCTTCCAGGACACCTCTCGGGGGCCTGGTTTTCCACCGCGCGAGGGCTCTTCCTCACCCCGCTGCAGTCCCTGAGCTCCTAGCACCCCGCCTCCCCCGCCCGCAGTCCCTGAGCTCCTAGCACCCCCCTCCCCCGCCCGCAGTCCCTGAGCTCCTAGCACCCCCCCTCCCCCGCCCGCAGTCCCTGAGCTCCTAGCACCCCGCCTCCCCCGCCCGCAGTCCCTGAGCTCCTAGCACCCCCCCTCCCCCGCCCGCAGTCCCTGAGCTCCTAGCACCCCCCCTCCCCCGCCCGCAGTCCCTGAGCTCCTAGCACCCCCCCTCCCCCGCCCGCAGTCCCTGAGCTCCTAGCACCCCCCTCCCCCGCCCGCAGTCCCTGAGCTCCTAGCACCCCCCCTCCCCCGCCCGCAGTCCCTGAGCTCCTAGCACCCCCCCTCCCCCGCCCGCAGTCCCTGAGCTCCTAGCACCCCCCCTCCCCCGCCCGCAGTCCCTGAGCTCCTAGCACCCCCCCTCCCCCGCCCGCAGTCCCTGAGCTCCTAGCACCCCGCCTCCCCCGCCCGCAGTCCCTGAGCTCCTAGCACCCCGCCTCCCCCGCCCGCAGTCCCTGAGCTCCTAGCACCCCGCCTCCCCCGCCCGCAGTCCCTGAGCTCCTAGCACCCCCCCTCCCCCGCCCGCAGTCCCTGAGCTCCTAGCACCCCCCCTCCCCCGCCCGCAGTCCCTGAGCTCCTAGCACCCCCCCTCCCCCGCCCGCAGTCCCTGAGCTCCTAGCACCCCCCCCTCCCCCGCCCGCAGTCCCTGAGCTCCTAGCACCCCGCCTCCCCCGCCCGCAGTCCCTGAGCTCCTAGCACCCCCCCTCCCCCGCCCGCAGTCCCTGAGCTCCTAGCACCCCCCCCTCCCCCGCCCGCAGTCCCTGAGCTCCTAGCACCCCCCCTCCCCCGCCCGCAGTCCCTGAGCTCCTAGCACCCCCCCTCCCCCGCCCGCAGTCCCTGAGCTCCAGCAAGCGCGCGCGCCACCTGCCGCGCTAGCGCCCCCAGAGGTGCTCTGGCTCCTTCTCCCCAGCCCTCCTCATTCAGGCAGCGTCAATCTCCCTCCCGGTTCACATCTCATCTCATCTGGGAGAGCGGCCTCCCCCCAGCGTCTCCACGACTGCTGTTAGCCCTCACCTTTCGGCAACAGCTTCCTAATTGACCTCCCACCTCCAATCTTTTCCAGCTCATTAATCCATCTCCCACATTTTTAGCAACATCATCTTTCTAACACGGCTCTGCTCATTTATTTCACGCCCCTGCTGAAAAAAACATCTCATCGCCTCATCACCTACACTCCAAACCTCGCTGGGGTTTGAAGGCCCTCCACAAACCCGGCCCCAGCTTACTGGACAGTGTCACTTCCTGCTGCTCTTTCAACCAACCCACTGTGTGGTCTGGCCTCAGTGAGCTTTCCTGCCCATCCACGATGTCCTTTCTTCTCTAACCTCGCGCCTGCTATCCTCACTCTCTCCGATGCCTTTCTCACGCTTTCATGTGACGCCTCATTTAGCCTTTGAGGTCCAGTTCAAATAGCAAGACCTCGGTTCACCCTCCTCTGACTCTCACAGAGGCGTCATCGACCCCCTCTTCTGTGAGCCCAGTGTTTTTCCTCTCTCTAGCTTGTGATCACTTTCTACAGTAGTTTTTGTTTTTTGCTTTTTTTGGCTTTGGGTTTTTATTTTTATATCTCACAGCTACATCACATAGCTTCATACTGGTACACGGTAAGCCTACAATTAATGATTGATGTTTCTTGTATGCACAAATACATGAATATTAATATAACATTAGTAAACAGCATCGGCATAAACTAAATGTGAGACAAATGTGACAATTTAGAGACAGCTATTCCATTTGTTAATTATATTAATATATTACATATCATAATTATATATATATTACATTTTATAAAATTATATTATATATTACATATTAACACTTATTTAAGGTATCTATTGCAAACTTTAAGAATGTATGAAGACTCTTAAAGAATAACATATTTAACAGTTATGATGTGTCAATTACATGAAAGTTTGGAAAACTAAACTTCAAAGATCAAAGCTAATACCTAACTTGGTGCCTATTGGTTAAATTTGAAACTAGGTATAGATTAATTTACTGTACTATTCTTTTAACACTAGTTGCAGAATTCCAACTAATACTTTTATAGGCAAGAGAATTTGGGGACCATAAACAATGATTCCATATAATTCATGCACATGATATAAAGCATAAAATGAATTCCTAAATTAACAGATCATATCTTATTTTAACGCAGCACTTGCTCAATATAATGGTAGCATAATAATAAATATTTTCAGTGGCGCTCCGCTTAGTATTGGTTTACTCGTGATTCTACAGTTGTTCATAAATGTTTACTGCACTTACAGGTCAATGATTTTATCAGCCAAGTTCTCTGATTTACTGCTGTATGGCCAAGCCAGGAAGTGACATGCTTTTTCAAGGAGATTAAAATGGTGTTGATGCTTGAAACTATAGGTTCCATGGAGCAAGGATAAAATAATTTATCAAGTTAGCTAGATATCCTACTAAAAATGCCATGTCAGACTTGAAAAAAAAAGTTGTTGATGCTTTAGTTTATGAATCTATGCTGACCAATGTGGCCTAAAGTAGGAAGGACAGCAGATGTTTCAATGCCTCTTCCCTGAAATTTAGCATACGGCTCAGCTTCAGAACCTTAAAAGAATAACAAATCTGAAATAATTCATGGCAGTGGAATTACTGATATTTAAACAGATGTCACTTTTTTTTTTAGCAAATGGAAATTGAGGTACAGATGGTGAGGGCTGGTATGTTTTAGAGTAGCCATTATGGATTAAAAATCTACATTTGTTAAATACCACAAAATATATAATGATGTCCATATTTTTCCCTAACTGAAATGGAGAAAAGCTTACTTCAGTCTCTTGGCTCCTTGTTACCTAGAGAGATGTAGAGTATTTTTCAGGGTACCTTGTTCCATTCATTTTTCATGAAATACAGGAGGAATGCCTCCGCTTCTGGGTACGGGAGTATTAATTGTCATATTAGAAAATATCTGTTATAAAGAAAATGTAAATACTTTACCTCCATATCAAGAACCTTATGGAAAATAGCCTGAGCTAGGCAATCCCGGATATATTTTTGGTGATCCCTCTTCATGATATTTAGCTTGTATTCTTTTTCAGAAAGTATTCTTCCACTTCTTGTGATCTGTCATGAATAAATAAAACATACATGGAAATACAAAGCAGAAAATGTATTGTTCGTTATCAAAAAGGGAGAGAGAGAGCGACAGAGAGACACAGAGAGAGTAGCGCTATCTTCTAAGCATGAGAGAGTCCACTACTATGGCTGATAAACGTTCACTTTTAATGAATATTTCATAAGAAAAAAAATCAGTCCCATATACCCATCATTGAGAAAACACACACAGGTGGTGCACTTGACGTTTAAAACAAGGTTTTCATTAGAGTCACAATGTCTCCTTGATGGAACCCAGGTGTTCCTTTCATTTCTTTTTTTTTTGAACACATTTGGGAAGAGGAGGTAGGGTGTTACCTTGAAACAATGAATAGGACCAGTGATCACAAGACTGATGATCTTACAGGAAATAACTCTGAGGGGCAAAACATGTAAGCTACAGAGGTGCTCATCAGTTTGTCTTAAAAGTAATTGGTTTCATTAATTTATTTCACACTGCTTTTTCTCCTTCCACTCTCCAACCCAGAATGTAATTTAATTTGTCCTGATTCAGATTTTTTTTAGATTATGCAGTGCTGCAGATATAAAATATTCCAGACTGAGTTCAATTGGTATCATTGAAAATGCCAGGAGTGGTAGTTTCTGTTTTTTATTTACTTGTTTTTCTTTTCTCTTACTCCTTCCTAAGGGCATATTTGTTGTATTTTTCTGTATTTTCTGTAAACAGAGGGTGCTATCCTTCTTGGATTGTTCATCTTCTTCCTTTCCACTTAATTATGCCCTGCTCCTTCAGGTCTGATCCAAGCCCACATATTTCTTGATTTTGATAACTAATTTTATAACACTGTTGTGGCAATGTATTGGAGCTCAGAGACCAAGGAGAGTTGTGTTACAAGTGACTGGATACTGATGATCTTTTTATATATATATCTTTTTTTTCCCCCGACGGAAGAAAGGGGTATGCTTCTAGAAAGTGTTTCCAATCACAAATAACTCAGTTACAGTCTTTGAAATGTGTTGTCCATAGGATATCATGCCATTTGTTTCCAACAGAGAAAAAATGTTGAGAGCATCCTGTACTGTGACCCCCTCCCCAGTTAACAGGTGTCATTGTCCTCTCCCCTCTGGGAGATCGGATCTCCCCAACTAGACTGGAAGCTCGTACAGGGCAGGAGTTCTTAAACTTGAGCCTGCACCAGAATCAGAAAACAAGTTGAAAAAAAAAAAACCAGATTGGTGGGCCACGCCCCACAGCTTCTGACTCAATAGGTCTGGGGTGAGGCTCTAAAATTTGCATTTTCTAACAAGTTCCCAAATGATGCTGAACACTGCTGAGTCAGGAACTGTATTTGATCCACCGTTCTAGAGAAATCTTCCTAATGTGAGTTGTCATGCACATAACCAATGTCCAATAAATGCTTGTTAATGATGTTGATGAGTAAATACAAAGTCCTTCCCATTTATACATAAAGCTCGCAAGACTGTTATCCAAAGAAGTAATGTTAATAGTCACCACAATAATTGCAACAAGCATTTATTACACATCTCTTATTGCCACAACAATCCTGAGGGCTGGGTATCATTGTCTTCATTTTACAACTAAGGAACTGGAGCTGAGAAAGTGAAGTACATGAATTGCTCAAGAGTCTACGACTTGTAAATGGTAGACCCAGGTTTCAGCCAGGTCTGTCTGATAACAAAGCCCCAGGAGACAAAAAGCAAGCTCTCTTGAGATCTACCCAACCAGAGTGCCAAGCACATAAACAACAATTAGAAACGCAATGCATAATCCTTTCAACACCATGGCAACAATAGTTAAGGAAATCCACTGTGTTTTAAGAAGGTAAACAGCTAAAATCGTTACTTACACTTTCTGTAACCACGTCCATTTCTTTCAATGGACAACTATAGTATTTTTAAAAGGTTTTCACATTAAATACATTTAGAAAAATGGAAATCCTGTGGAAATGATAGTTTTAGGGCTTAGAAAAGACACTCATGTTACCAATAAACAATCTGGGAAATGAAACAGGTTTTTAAAATTCAAGGGGAAATTTTGAACTGTTCATGTCTTGCACACCATATTCTGTGATTATTAAAAATAGTATTTTTTCCTGAAGACAGTAAAGTCTTCTCTATGCTTAATCCCTAACAGTTCCTTGTTCATACGATGTGTTCAATAAATATGTGTTGAATAAATGAATGAATAAACAAGTAAAATATGCTATTGGAAGCTCTAGGGTTTTTTCTCAATAATTTATAAGTAGCCTTAGTGGTCACTGTGACCTCTCTTCCTACCTTTTGAAACACAGCTTCAAAAAGATAAATCAGAGCTCTGGAAAAGTAGTAATTTTTCTAAAATGAGGGGGAGGGGGGTAATGTCCCTGATTAGCTCAAAGAGAAAACCAGAAGAGGGAGCGAGAACTACTGGATTTAACGAAACAAGAGGGCAGATGGGAAGGAAACCAAATCTTACCAGCCCTGATCTTAAGAGATGCCGCCTTATCCTTGTGTTGTTAAAATATCCAGTCAGGTGTTTGTCGGTAAGACTATTATATGCTGCAAGCAATCTGGAAGAGAAAAATGAAACCATTTACGTTTTTATGAAGTGCTGCCTGATAGCCAAGGTGATTCTTGACTCTCTCATCCCCAAACTGTGCATAATCATTCACTCCTCCAGATCAATAAACAGGTATTGAGCACTTACTGTTTTCCAGGTTTTAAGATAAGAACTGGGAGACAGTCCTGACATTGTTTATTTTGCAGACAAGTATGGAAATCAGACATGAACAATTAAATTGGGTGTGAAAAATCCAACAATAGAAATAGCAAAACTCCTGGGGACACAGAGAAGGAGACTACCAACTCCGGCTGTCAGGAAAGTCTTCTCAGAGGAAGCCTGATGGGAAATTTGGGCTCTTCAGCCTCCTGTTTCACGCTAAATTCCAGCAGCAAACTTACACGCACTTCCTCAACATATTCTTTCATGTCTTCAGAACACAACACACGGTCCCTCTACTGCCAAGGCCTCTCTCTGACCCTTAGCTAGTGGATACGACCCGTGATCCACAATCATCTCTTCTCCCAGCAAACTTTCCCCAGGGCAAACTGGATGCTCTGTGTCACCTTCCACTCCCCCACCCTAAAACCTTGAGTTACTTACATTACATGTCACATAAGATTGGAAGGCCAGGATCTTGTGTTATTCTTAGTATCCCTATGGAATTATTTATTGTGTACCCAAATAATGATGTGTTCTATAGGGGAAAACACAATTTTGTTTGGGACTCATTCTTGCTGGTATAAACTTCTAAGTTTAAGCTCAGCAGCTTAGAAGTCTTAACTTCCATATATATATCTCCACACAATTCATGAATTCCACATCCAGAACTCCCCACCCTCCCCGCCAAAATTCATAGATTACTGTTGATTTTTAGGGTCTTTTATTTTAAGAGTTAAAAGAAAACAAATCGGTTCCTTGAGTACATCTTATACCTTGGTAAGTGGTCAATCTGAGTCTATAAATCAAAATTTGAAGCTATTTTTTTCTAAGTTTTAACTTACCCTCCACTGCTTATTATTACCTTACAAATGCATATGCACATTTACATGTATGTATACAGTTAGGCACGTAAGTTCATCCATATACATAAATGTGAGTGTAGATACATACATATGTATATATAGAGAGATGAAGAGAGAGACAGAGACAGGTAGAGAGAAAGAGGCAAAGAGGGAGAATTCACAAGCCTAAACACAGCCCTAAAATAAGGCTATCTTAAAAAAAAATGTATACCTTATTACCTGCAACAAAGATTTACAATCTGTACATATTACGAGCAGTTGATCCTTAACTTATTTGGAGGCCAGAGCAGGGACTCATATGATACAGTCAAGTAAATGTCATTAGTGACAATTTTATTTAGCTGCCTTAATTACATGGAGATGGTATCGGTGACCTTTTCCTGTCTCTTTTCTCCTTAACGCCCATCTAGGAAAGTTATATGCTGTCAAATGGTAAGGAAAGTTTAATTTTGTCCACAGAAGACACTGAAAGCAGTTACAAAGCCCAGAAGCCAAGATGCCACATGAGAAGCCATTATTTCACGGGGTTTATGTAAAAAGACAACCCAAGGGCTTCAGTAATGCACATACGAAACCAGCCCCAGATAATGCTTTGAAACCATCTTTTAAATGAACTGTCTTGGTGTCCTATAGTTCATCAAAGGTTTCCTGTCTCCAAAAGGTCAACACTGTATCCCTTACCCTTTCTGAATCTCAGAATATCTTTTCAGCAACTCATTTCAGAAAGGTGAGCAGGTGTCTCTCGGTCCTAACAATCATGATTCCACAGTTCACAGATTCTTAAGATAAATCATTAGACAGATATCATCTATAGTCTTTTGTCTGTTTTTCAGGCTCAAGTTTTAAAAAAAATCAATAGTTTTGGAATAGCTGAGTGCTAAAACCCTGATTAAATGAAATAGGGTCAAAAAGTTAGGGTAACATTAACTTCCCTACTGGCTGAAAATAATCCCCTTATTTCATTCAGAATTCGTAACTTTTTCAATATTTAGGTCCTAAGAATAATGCTTAGCCAGCTTTGGCACCACCTCATCCGAATTCTGCTCCCCCAGGCTCGTACTAAATGAGTATGTGTCCACAATGTCCATGAAGTACCTACAGTCTTACCGAAAGGTCCGGTGGAGTTGAAACCTTTAAACACATCAGCTTTCTCACCTTTCCCTGTTTAGGAAATATTGAGAGTCCCTGGTTGGGATGCTATTTGTAAAGCAATTCCTTCCTTGATATCATATACCTGGCCTTGGTAGAAATGCTGAAAAATAACTAGCTGGGTCCATCCGGGGTCAGTAATTTCTTTTTCAGCAGTGCCTAATTTTTTTAACTGAAACTTTAGATTAACAAACTGTTTGATAACAAGAAATTGTACTAGAGTAAGTTATATACAGAATTAGTAAAACTGTTGTTATGGAGTGAATGTTTGCTTCCCCCTAAAATTCGTATGTTAAAATCCTACCCCCCAATGTGATGGTATTAGGAGGTGGGGGCTTCGGGAGGTGATAGGGTCAGAGGGAGGAGCCCTCATGAATGAGATTAGTGCCCTTATAAAAGAGACCCCAGAGAGCTCCCTTGACCCTTTCACCATAGGAGGATATAGCTAGAAAACAGCCATGTATGAACCAGGAAGCGGCTCTCAAGACACTGAATCTGCTGGCACCTTGATATCAGACTTCCCATCCTCCAGAACTGTGAGAAATAAATTTCTGTTGTTTAAGCCACCCCGTCAATGGTATTCTGTTACAGGAGCCTGATGGGACTACATTAGCAGTCAGTGCAAACATTTCTATTGTATACATATAAATGTCACCCTCGTTCTGACCATGAGGCCTCCTCCACAGGGAGATGGTAGTAATCGTGGGTCTCAGCCACAACCGTAGTCTGTCTGATGCTCTCTGTTCTGCTTCTCTTCCTGTGTGCTTGGTATGGGTTGGTAGCCTCCCTTTGCACTTGCTCAATTACAAGAGCTTTACTGACCCGGCCACAAATTTAGATTAGTAGAGCTTTTCTGATGTTTCTGCCTTTGTCCTCTCCATTCACTGCCACTGTTTCCCCAACACACACACCCTTTTCTTTTCTTTCTTGCACTCAGCAGAGCCCTGGGCCAGATGAGGTCACCTCACCTGAACTTGGTGATTGTGTTGCACCTGCAGCACTCCACTCCCTTTGTAAGTCACTCTGCATCTCTGGTCAAAGCTGGACTTCTGGTCCTCCTACCCAGTCCCATGATCCTCCCCTGCTGCGGTCCCTAGGATCAACAACTGCACTGATCACAGCAATTACCAGGCCACTGTGACCCTATCATTCAAAGGCCATGCTGTTCACACCAAGTCCCACAGCTAAATGCCAAAACAGGCCTAACTCATTGGCTTCATTATCTGATGGACAAGACTACTTACCAACCCTCTGGCCACTGGGTGGAGAACAACCCACTATCTGGCTCAATGCACCAGGGAAGAAAGCCCCCCCAGGAAACAAAGCAACCCTGTCTCTATGATGGGTCCTGTTTCCTCCACTGTGATACACACCCCACATTCCTGCAGTGCGGAGGGACTGGAGGAGCAGGCTGCTGAGTCCCTGGGAGTGCTGCCTTCCCAGCTGCAGTCCTTCAACACTTAACCCTCAGACCCCTGCCTCCCACTGTGTAGAATATCTAAATGGGGCTCTGAAGTAATAAAGTCGGTGATTCCTATCAATCCCTCCATCTGCCCCCAAAGAGAATCTATCCCATAAAAACCCCATCTGAAAAGACAAGCACTATAATATTATTAATCACAAGCATTTACTGAGCACTGACTCCTTTCAGGGCATTCTGTAAGATGCTGGGGATTCAGAGAGGGCACAGACACTGAACCCACAGAGTTCCCAATCTAGTGTACATACAGTGTGTGTGTGTGTGTGTGTGTGAGAGAGCATGTGGGCATACTTCATTTCTTCCTGTGTCATAGGCTGATTCATTCACAAATAGATAATGAGTGTTTTAAGTGTCTCCATGTCAGATACTGTGCTGTAAGCTGGGCAAGAAGTATATTATCCCCATCCCATTAGCAGATTACAAAGCACCTCCACATACACAGTCTCATTTGATTTTTTTTAGGCCCCTGGAATGAAAGCTATTACAGCTCTTCCATCTTCCTAAAATGGAAAAGCTCTAAAACAAGATTATCATTTAATGTGAGGCAGTCATAGAAAAGCCTGAATAAGGTAACACTTCATGATCACAGTGATAGAAGAATTTCTTCTGGCCTCAGCATTCTTGAACCTAACCCCTCTCCCAGAACTGCCCGTCCCCACACTGTCTACCCTTGGTGGGAGAGAGGGATGTAGTGGTTAAGACTCCAGCTGCAGTTCAATCCTGGCTTCAGCATTACTGGCTCCATATCTGAGAGCAAGTGACTTAACTATACCTCGATTGTTCTACCTTCCACAAAACATTAGAACGTGAATACAACGCAGCCAAGTTCTTTGCCACTTTATAACAAGGATCGCTTTTCCTCCAGTTTCCAATAACTTGTTTCTCATTTCCATCTCAGACCTCATCGGAATGGCCTTCACCATCCATATTTCTACCAATGTTCTGTCCATGATTATTTATGTGTTCTCTAAGACGAAGGAAGCTTTCTCTCCAGCTCCCTTTTCTTTTTTGAGCTCTCACCAGAATCACAGGAAAATCCCTTCACAAGAAAATATTTGCAAACCGTATGTCTGATATGGGGTTAATATCCAAAGTATATAAGGAACTCATACAACTCAATAGCAAACAATAATAACAATAACAATAATCCAATTAAAAATGAGCAGACCTGAATATACTTTTTTTTTTTCCCCAAAAGCATACAAATGGCCAACAGGTATGTGAAGGGACATTCAACTAATCATCAGGGAAATGAAAATCAAAACCACAACGAGGTATCACCTCACATCTGTTAAGATGGCTATTCTCAAAAAGGTAAGAGGAAGTATTGGTGAGAATGTGGAGAAGAGGGATCTC